GCTCTGCTTTTAGCTGATCGTCATCCTGAATCAGCTCGATCAAAAGATGTGCTCGATGTCGCACTGTAAACAGAATCTCAGTGAGTTGGGTAAAACCTGGAAGAATTCAAATGTTCATAAGGCTGCCCTCATAATTTTTCCAATGAAGGTGATGCAGCAATGATAAGCAATTACTTTTAGATAAGCTACCAGTTATTTTTATGGCGATTTGAAGTGATTTTTTTTTTCCACGAATATAGCTACTCCCCAGTATTGCGTTACTGCATGCGCTTGTCATTAGTACACTTTAATATAATTAACGAGAAAAATTTAGAAAAAAAAACTCATCAAGTGTGCTTTCATCCTCCAAAATTCACGAGGAATGACCAAACTAACCATTCAGTCCCTGATCCTTTCCTTTTTCATCGATATATTTATAGGACTCGAGCGCACGCATTTCGAACAAATGATCACGTGCATTATTTATCACCCGTTCACTGCCATTTTTCAAAAGATAATGAAGCAAGGTCAGTGACTGGAAAAAGAATACGTGATTTTCAAAAAGCACAAACCGAATTTTTTTGCTTCGAAAGAGAAAGTTCTGGTTCGAATGAGGGGGAACTTTTGTCAGCTTTTGGCATGGCTCAAAGAATACTGTCATCAGTGTTTACAAACTCACCAGCTGTATCAGCCAGGAAAAAGTTCATCTCGCATAATTATTCTGAAGGCCGAAAGAAGACCAAAAAATTTCTGGATTTCTGAAATTCTGAAGACCAAAAAATCAGCAAGAAGACCTCATACACCGACGCTCCGGGCGCCGCTATGCCAATTGGAATTTGTATAAATTTAAAAAAAAAAATCACTGTGCAAATGTGAATTTCTCCAGAAATTTTATAAAGTACAATGTAGGAAAAGAACAGAAAAAATCATATCATAATTTCATTGTATCCTTCACTTATTTAATTGAAATTTGTCGAGTTTTACATATTTAAATTCTGTGTAATCACTGGCTGGCTAGGAAGTAACACCGAATAAAAAAGCCGGCAAAGATCAAAGAAACTTGAATCTACGCTGCCTAAAACTGGGTAGCTGCATATACCAAAAGAGTGTTTACGAGGCTGGGGTATGCATGGAGCAAATGCCTCAAATGATTCTAGTAGAATACAATGAGCAATAGTGCGGTGGATAAGAAATCGCAATTCTAAGAAGTTGAGAAGTTCGATTCCCTCCCAGGCCGGCAGTGAAGGCAGCTTACGACAGTGTGAAGTTTAGTGTCTTCATTATCCTGAAATATTCTCACACCTTATATACTCGTCTCCATGCAGCTCTGTTGTCCTGTAGCATTCGCTTCCAAAGCATACCCATCACTTCCGGGAATGCATCGTACTGATATGTCAGGTGTGCGATTTCGCCCATCTGCGGCCCGGTCGGTCCCCACGGATCCTCGTTTGTCGCCTCACGCACCTTGCTTTCCGCTTCTGTATAGTTCATTACCATACCTTGCCTGGAAAACAGCTTGCGATGTCATCACTCAAACAGAACACATGCAACTTGAACTGTAACCAACAGAGTAGCGTAGCCAATGCCTTTTTAAAGGCAATGCTACGGGGGCAGCAAATTGAAAGACTTTTCTATTCATCAACAATTTGGGAATAAAAACAATTTGTAGCAGAAAAAAAACCATAATAATAATAAAATAATGATAATAATAATAATGATAATGATAATAATAATAATTGGTTGTTGAAGTACAGCAAAGTTTTGAAGAAAAACCAAAATTACA